CTGCCCTGGTCCTCATCACACTGCCCTCGTCCTCATCATGTCCTGATTAGGAGACCAGGGCTTCTGCCTGAGGGAGGTACTAACCTTTCTAGAGACAGAGTAGAGAGCAGTGCTGCTGAGCGTTACTTGAAGACTTGAGCTGTTTTCTCTAATTCATCTGTGTCAGCGTGTGGCCTTAAGGTTGAGTGAATTGGTTTCTGCTTTTCATCTAATTGAAGATTTTTGAAAGGGTAATCTTTTTTGAGACTATTAAAATGGAATTCTCTCAAATTCTTATACATTTCATGTTTATGATGAGAAATAGAAACTTGCATGGAAACTATAGTGATACAGAGTGAGGTTTTTATCAAATGGTCTTGTTCAAAAAATTTACTGGAAAAAATTTTGCTGTAAAGTCATATACTTAAATTCACTCAGAAAGTGTAAGAATTTTATGAAAGTTGCTGTGAAAATGACAAGAAACAACATGTCGAAAGAAGAATTTCACATGACGATAGATGGGTTTATCATCTTAATACCATAAGAATTTTAAGCCCATGATTAATTGATAAAGCTAGTTCACTAGAGGGACATTTTTAGCTTAGAGCCAGTATGCACTAACTGGTAAAGGGTGGAGAATAAATACGTGCAAACTTAGAAACAAAATATTAAGTTCTCTCTGATTTTTAAAAAACAGACAAGTTTCCATTCGGACAAATGGATTTCAGCTTTGTGCATTCCAGTTTTTAATAATTAAGTAATTAATCCAGACAGTACTATATATTTAAGTATAATGGTACACAAATGAGAATAGTACAAATTTAGAATATAATGAATAAGGAAAAAATAAAAGTAAACTCATGCCTTCTTGATAGTTGCTCTAAATAAATGAGATGAAGAAAATAAAGGAAAACTGAATGATTAACCAAAAAACAAGTCCGAAACGTTAACACTAGATACTTAATATATATTAATTCTTCTTATTGTAAACTAAGAATAAAATATTTAAGTCATATTTAAATTCTGACATTAAGAGCTTTTTAAGGTGAAATAGAATCCCCTTCTGTACAGCAGGCTAGCAGCAAATGGCTCTAAAGGCAACTAGAGAAAAATGGGATGTCCTACACTGGTGATGGAGCCACAGGAGCTGCTGTTTTACTCCATTCAGAAAAAAAGTAGAACAGAGCCATACTCTGGGCATCTCTGTGTGTGACCTGGGAAAGTTAACCTATTTATTTCCCTTCTCTCTTTCTTATAACCATCCCCTACGACTCTCTTGCCCATATTGGGTATGCTTGATTTTATCTGCCCCTATTTAGGATTATCTAACAGTGTTTGATTAAAATAATAATTAAATCAGAAAGCCTTCTATTTGTGTAAGGACATTACGATTTTCATGTGGTGAAAGGAGTGTAATGAATCACGTGGCAGCATCTGTAAAGATGTCTGGCCCATGAGAGTATTTCATTAGGACAGTTTCCCTCACATCTTCCCTTTGAGAGTCAGGCATGCAGAGGGTTGCTCAGTTTCCTCAGCACCGACCAAATTACCCATCTCAGTAGCCTGAAAAACACCGAGTGGATGATCAGCGTACTAGCAAATCTCCTAATTTCATCTAAGGACTAATTTTTACACTGAGGTTTCTAGAGGAAATCAACCCCAAACCCATTCCCTAATCATTTGCCTAAAGAAGTGTGTTATAGAGTCAGCGAAAGGGTGTTTGTTTTTAATTTTGATGGAAAATTCATGGAAAATCAAGGTTTCTCAATTCAACAGCAAGAAGGACTGTGGAATACCCATCCTTTATCACCTTGTGTAGGCTGCGGCTCTTCCATTCAGTCCTCCGGTGGTAATGCCCATGCCATACCGCTCCCAAGACTCAGCACCTAATCAAAGCATCCCCTCCCAGGCCACATGTGAGCACTTGTGAAATCCCATGGGCTTGAGTTGAAGTGGACCCTCCCATATTTTCCTAAAAGGACAAAAGCACAACCTCACCCTCCCTTCTCTCTCTCTTTCCTCTCTTGTGTCCCCAGGGATTATCTTACTTTCTGTACAAACGGGAGGAAAATTAGAAACACATCACTGTAGTTAACTGAGCACCTGCTATGTCTTGTCACTTACATGGCTTTGTGGAAACCCTCAACAGGGCTTAAAAGTTGAAAGAGTCCATGGAGGTTAGAGGCAGCCAAATCGGGTTCAGGTCTTGGCTTCATTTTATCTGCATGTTTTATATTTTGAAGATTTCCACTTGCATAGACCTCCCAATAACCTGGATTTGGAACCTTTGAAGCATCTTTTACTTAGCTATCTTCCTGTGACCTTAATGTCTGCAAGGGGGTCTTTAAAGGAACCAGTTAGGGAATTAATGAACTGGGAGAAGATACCTGGGAAATCACCCACCTCTTGTTTCATTCCAGAAACATTACCTGGCATCAGTAAAGGAAGGATAATCCCATTTCCTTATCTGTTCTAATGGGCCTCTCTCTCTATAGAAAATAAGATTTCCTGACAGTGCCTCTCATCTTCTTTTCTGACAGCTTCCTCTGCTCTCTTTTTTCCCTTTCAACTCACTTTTATGACAGAACCATGGGATTTTATTTCAGTTATCCTGCTTAGTCGTGCCTCGACCGGACTCTCATTGGGACATTGGTGATGTGCAAGGACTCATACAATGAGCTGCTAAACCAAGAGTATCTGGGGGGATAGGAACCAGCTTAGCCGATTATGTCCTACTCTAAGATAAGGGCTTTTAGACATGGTGATTACTTCACCAGACTCTTGTTGACAGTGTAAAGGCATCAGAAATTTCTCAAAATTACATATGCTGCAATTTTTTAAAATCTACTTCTGTGATTTAATCGGTTCAATGCATTTCAAATAGTAACAAATTTCAAACCTCTGATTTACTTACTCATGAAAAGGCTTATTCAGATGTGGCTTATAGCTATGTTTAATTTATCTGATGTGCATCATACAATGTCTGGGGATTATCGTCTTTCAAATGGAACTATTCATCTGTTTCACAATTAGAGTTCCTCAGACAAATCTTAAAACTGGCTTGTAAATCAGGCTCTTTCATACTTTCCCAGTAATGTTCTCTTCACCATCTACAGATATTTTTAGGGCTTAAACTTTAATTAGCTTAGTGGTTAGGTTTAGAAAATGGAATAAAAAAATAAAAATAAAATGGAATAAAATTAAGTATTAGCAACGTTGCCCTCGTTTTGTTGATATGAAACCATTCATTCATTCATTCACTGTTCAGTCAGCAAACATTTGTGGGTGTCAATCTGAACCTCAAACTTCTTGAAGCCACATGGGGAAAATGTAGAGACCTTTGCTAATTCTCTCTGTTTCTGAAGTGCATGATGAAACACCAATGTAATTGTTACTTTATATGAAAAGTCTTTAGTGACTTATTAGCATTAAGGCTAATTGAAACATGGTACCTCTGTACAGCTCAACCAAGGCGTTGAGTACTTACATTCTTCCTTAAGTGTGCAAGGCACCACACTGAGTTCTGAGTCTATAATGAGGAATCATACAGACCGGACCTGTCCTTCAAAACATGCAATCTGGAGGGAGGAATTACCGCACACCCATACATAACATGAGAGATTATAAACTGTCGTATGTAGGCATTCATGAGAACTCAGAGAGGACCCCAGAAACGTGGCACAGAGAGTGCTGGGTTAGCTGCATTTTGAGTATCTGTCGTAGTCAGAGGTGGAGAGCTGAGATGGCTTTTGAGCATCAGTCATTCATATTACTCATCTCACTGGCTAAAAATCACATCTTTTTCACAGGAATTACTTCAAATTAGACATCCCCCATCCTTATATTCAAAACGCCCTTACCTCTTTTGAATGTTAGAGTAAATGTGCATTTTACTTTTCTAAACTTTACCTAAAGGCTTGTGCTTGTCCTTCTAGGTCTCAGAGATCAACTGAAATGATTCTGGCTTTTTCCTCCCTGCCTTGGGTCACCTTTGAGCCAAGTTCATGAAACCACTTCTCTGTCTTTATCCAAGGCCTGGATAAATTACAAAACACATGCCCACTTTAGCCCTCTTACCCCCCAGAAAAGCAGAGGAGAGGAAAACAAGTTCATCCCCTGGAGAGGGACCAACTTCCTCAGGAGGCCTGTGTGATATCCACCCCATCATTTCTTCAAGAGCCCCCAAAGGTTCAGGGTAAGATGAAGAAGTCCATCTCGTCCACTCTTCCTGGGGAGCAGGAACCCTTCCCTGTCCCCAGAGCCCCACAGTCCTGCACACACACCCTCACTGGGGGCATTGGGACCCATCCTAGGCCCAGCCCCTCTCAGGCTCCTGTGGTGGTCACGTGGTCACGGATGGCTCCCCCTCCACCATCCTCCTGCAGGGGGAGGGAGGTGCACATGTGGGTTTCAAGTCCTGCTGCCCCCTTCTCATTAACCAAACTTGGAACCTTAAAGACAGGTAACACCTGCCTATAGCAAAATGAAGGGCATGTCCTGCTGTCATTTCAGACAGGTCAGTGTGGTCAGGAAAATCAGATATCGGGCCAGCTTCTTGTTAAGCAGAACAGACACAAGGATGTCACAGGCCATCCATAAATGGCCATCATCACCACCCTCCAAGCTCTGGTGCCCGTTAGGGTGCCATCATGCCAGGAAAGCTGTCACTTAAGCACACCTGGGCATCATTTAGACTCTAGCAGCAGCTCCCAGGAGTTCACCCTCTCTGTTTTCCTGGAGTTATCTTCCTTCTTCCACTGTCAAGGTCCTTCAATGTGCAGGCATT